ACTCTACACAAACATTGTCATGTTTGCTCCCCTTGGAATCTTGACCATAGTCAAGTACCCCTCAAAATTAGTGAGGAAAACTACAGTTACTCTGATTTTATCCTAGTCAGAATACGTAGGCATAAGATGCGATATCCTTGCGAGCAAACTTAGAAATTATCCTTAGGTCTTTACCCACAACTTTACCCTATTCTTGATCCAATAACCCTACTAAACAACTTAGATAACCTAGCATACCCACACACAAAAGGTTCCTGTAGAGTACTACAGATGTCTAGGATGTGAAATACCTACCCTAGGCATAACCAACCCCCAATCCCCAAATCTTTCGCGTTGTTCTTACATCGCACAAAAGGTCTTTTCTTTCTTTAACCTTTCCTTTGGATAAATCAAAGCTCGGTGGTGAATTTTAATGAATTAAGATTCAAGTTAATCAATAACTTGACATTCGATTCTCACCGCAACACCCATATGTTGTGGAGTTAACTCTTATCGTATACCCATCAAACCCAAATCCAGACAAGCATTATAACCATCTTTTGTCTTGCCTTGAATGTTGAGAAGTGTTCCGATTAAACTATCACATACATTTTTCTCCACGTGCATCACATTAATACAATGTCTTACATCAAGACTAGACCAATATGGAAGATCGAAGAAAATCGACCTCTTTTTCCATATATTTTTCATATTAGTTTGCTTTTGGTACTTTCCAAAGACAACATTAATGTCCTGTTTTCGTTGATAAACTTCCTCTCCAGTTAAGGGCTTTGGAGAAACACCATGCTCTTGTTCCCCATTGAAAGCTTTCCGCAATCTACGATATGGATGATAACGATTTAGAAATTTTCATTGTCCGAGATAAACAATCTTCTTTCCTTTTTCAATTTGATGATAACATTTTTCTTTTTCACATATAGGACACGCTTTATGCCCTTTAACTTTATACCTAGACAAATTGCCATATGCCGGAAAATCGTTGATGGTGCAAAACAACATGGCACGCACATTGAAATGTTCACTAGAATATGCATAAAAAACATCCACCCCTTCCTCCCACAACACTCTTAAATCATTAATAAGTGAACTTATATAAACGTCTATGTCATTTCCTGGTTGTTTTAGGCCCGAAATCATCATTGATAACATAATATATTTACGCTTCATGCACAACCTAGGAGATAGGTTGTAAATCATCAGGAGAACAGGCCAAGAAGTATGATTAATACTTAGATTACCAAACAAATTCATTTCATCAGTAGAAAGTCCAAGTCTAAGGTTTCTCGACTCTTTGCCAAAATTTGGAAACAAAGAATATATTTTCTTCAATTGCAAAGAATCAGCTACATGGCGAATTTGTCCATCACATTTTCTTTCTTCTGTATGCCATCTAAGATTCTTTGCGTCATTTGCATTAGCGAATAATCTCTTGAGCCTTGAAATTATTGGTAGGTACCATACCACTTTTGCGGGAGGACCCTTTTTTACCACCTCATCATCAATAGAATCACCATCTTTCTTTTTGTAGCGTGACACCTTGCACTTCGAACAATGATTATAGTTTACATAATCTTTTTTGTATAGTATGCAATCATTAGGCATACATGTATCTTTTCATACTCCAAACTCATCGGACACAATAATTTCTTCGCCTCGTAATAATGATTTGGCATTACGTTACCTTCTGGAAGCATTTGTGTCAACAATTCAAGCAATTTGGTAAAACTTTTGTCAGTCCATCCATTATTAGCCTTCAAATTAAACAATTTTAACACGGCTGACAAACGTGTAAAATTTGTGCATCCCGGGTACAAAGGTTTATCCTTATCACTGCATAAAGTATCATACGAATGCACCCTTTTAAATGAATCTTGTCCAATATCACGCATCATGTCTTCCAGACAATCATCCATTTCTACACTAACATTATCTCTTTGGGACACATTTGACTTTGCTACTACTTCACCGTACCATATCCATTGTGTATAACTTTGACAAATCCCTTCACAAATTAGATGATCCATAATTTCTTTCTTATTAAGTTTGGTTCTTGATTTGCACAATGAACACATGGACAGTGAAAAAGCACATGATGACTTTTTTCAACATTACTTTTAGGAGGAAGAATATTTTTTTAAGCATTACTTTCATCAAACTGTATAAATTCCATCACTCCATGTTCGTACTCAGCACTTAATCGATTAACTCTCATCTTAGCTCTCATCCAACTACGATCCATACTTATGTTCTGAAATTAACACATACGGAATTAAATCATTGTGACGCCTACAATAGTCCCTCTTTTGGATACATTAGAGAGAACAAAAGCCTCTATGTGCAAACATGTGACATTAAATTAAATCATAAAACTTATTCCTAACAAAATGGTATTATCCTAAAAATTCTATTACTCAATTTAAACTCAAATAGAACCAAATTGACATCAAAATTATTTGACATTTTTATTTTCAATTTTAACGCAAATAAAACCAAATTGACATCAAAATATTTCAATCATTTTTACAAAAATCTGTTATTAAAAATAGTAAAATCATGTACTGTTAAAGATACCTTATAGATCGTTGTTATCACCGGCAGAGTAATGGAAAGTAGAAAAAGCTCAAGGTTGTGTCTCCAAGCCAACAAGCACAAGGTTGTTTCTCTTAAGATTTTAACAAACCGAAAAGTCAATAAGTCCAAAAAGATATCTTCTATTAGCACCAATTAACCGACCATTTTTCCATAATATGGAAGAATTAAACCACCAATATATGACATTAATTCATTGAAAATATATGAAACAAACTGATTTTTCTACACACTAAATTTCAAATTCCAGAATTCTTACAAAAAGCTATTATTAAAAATAGTAAAATCATGTACTGTTAAAGATACCTTATAGATCGTTGTTATCACCGACAGAGTACTAGAAAGTAGAAAAAGCTCAAGGTTGTCTCTCCAAGCCAACAAGTACAAGGTTGTTTCTCCTAAAACTTTAACAAATCGAAAAGTCAAAAAGTCCAAAAAAATATCTTCGATTAGCACCAATTAATCAACCACTTTTCCATAATATGGAAGAGTTAAACCACCAATATATGACATTAATTCATTAAAATTATATGAAACAAACTAATTTTTCTATACACTAAATTTCAAATTCCAGAATTCTTACAAAAAACTATTATTAAAAACAGTAAAACAATGTACTGTTAAAGATACCTTAAAGAAATTAAGCGAACGAAAATGGCGGAGGGAGAACCATGCGAACGACGAGGGAGGAAGAAGAATGGCGGATGGCGATGGTAGTACGACGCGAACGGTTGGTGACAATAGTAGATATTGACGGCGACAGAGGAAAAAGAAGAAGAAGAATGACAGACAGTGGCGGCGGAGGAAGAAGAAGAAGAAGAACGACGACGGTGGAAGTGAAGAAGAAGAAAAATGGGGACGACAACAATGGAAGTGAAGAAGAAGAATGATATGAGATTTTTGGAATTTAGAGAATGTTATGTTTTCGGATAGGGTTTGCGCTTTTAAGAAACATTTTACATTAGTTCCTGTTAACGGACCAATGTGAAATCCTTCAAACCACTTTTTACATCGGTTGAGATAAATGACCCTATATAAAAATTTTAATCCATTTTATTTATTTATTTATTGATAAACATTTTACATTAGTTGGGATAAACGACCCGATGTAAAAAGTTTAATCCATTTTTTTTATTGAGATACTTTTTACAATGGGTTGGATAAACGGCCAGATGTAAAAATTTTAATTAATCTATTTTATTTATTTATTTATTGAGATATTTTTTACACAGGTTGGGATAAACGACTCGATCTAAAATGTTTAATTAATCTTTTTATTTTTATTTTTTATTGAGATACTTTTTACATCATTTTTTTATTGAGATACTTTTTACATCGGTTGAGATAAATGATCCGATATAAAATCTTTTATAATAATTTTTTTATTATTTACGAAACTGCCACTGTTTTATTTTTTACATCGGTTGGGATATATGACCCGATGTAAAATGTTTAATCTATTTTATTTATTTTTTATTGAGAACTTTTTATATTGGTTGAGATAAATGACCCGATGTAAAAAATTTTATAACAAATTTTTTTATTATTTATGACACTGCCACCGTGTTATTTTTCACATCAATGAAAATATATGTCTGATGTAAAATTCTTAAATCAAATATTTTTCACATCATATTATTAATAAATCTGATGTAAAATATTAACAAATATTTTTCATATTATATATCTTAAAATCTAATGTAAAATCATTTAACCAAATATTTTATTTTTAATAATAATGGTGTTAAATATGTCTTTGGTTTAGATGTGCAGAGCTAACACAAATTGCTAATCTGATTGAGCATCTCAATCTGTTTAGGCCCGGTTTGAGTTCTACAACGATAAAGAAGTTGCGTTAGTTTGTTTGGTCTTAGGTGTATTGGTTTATCTAGTCTACTACGAATAAATTTTTTGTCAAAGGTTTTGTAGACATTAAAGAAGCCGAGTATTTAGTGAACTTTTTAACTTTTGAGAATAATATACATTGTCTCATAAGAATTGTATTGATTTTTGTAAACTACTACTTCTAGTCTTTATTTATGATTCTGATGTCGTTTTTATCTTGATTGTAATTGGGTTGGAGTGATTATTTCTTTTAATTCAATTTGCTTATAAAAATAATTTAATAGTTGATAATGTTAAGCCTAAGAAAAATATTGACCCCTTCCAAATGCAACAAAATAAGACACTAACTCCAATTATATAGATTTTACTACGTCTTATTTCATGTCGGCCCATTTAATGCAAAAATCACGTCGGCACAAATAAACAGTGCTTGGACCAACACGTCTCAACCCCCACTTGTTTGCCACCTTTTACTTCCACTGACAACAGAGTATAAACCAATCACATGTTTCATTACAACACAGTATCTGTCATCAAACACAACAAACTCGTAGAAATTAAGAAACATGGAAGCCATGCTCATTATCAGAAACACAGTACTCTGCCACTTCACAAAGCCACTCCCAAACGTCCCTTCACTCTCCCTTCAAAAAACCTCAAGACTCTTCTTAGCTTCAGCTTCCAACAATTCACACGTATGTTATAGAATTGCAACAAAGACTAGACGCGGTGTAGATACAGTAGTCGTCAGAGCCGCAGAATCCATCAGTGAAGGCATAGAAGACGTAAAGAAAATCGCACTTGATGCAAATGAGAAGACGAAGGAAGCCGCAGGCTCAATATTTGATCAAGCAAAAGAAGGAACAAACAAGGCAGTAGAGGCAGCAAAGAGTGCTGGAGAGAAGGCAAAAGATTATGCTTTTGATGTAAACGACAAAGCAAAGGAAGCAGCAGGTTCGATCGTAGATAAAGCCACAGAAGGAACAAACCAAGCTGTAGAGGCGGTGGAGAGTGCTGGAGAGAAGGCAAGAGATTATGCTTATGATGCAAAGGACAAAGCCACTGATGCAGTAGGTTCTGTGGTTGATAAGACGAAAGAAGGAATTGAGAGTGCGACGGAGGCTCTGAAGAATGAAGGGGAGAAGGCGAAGGAAGCAGGAGATGGAGCGTGGGAGGCGACTAAGGATGAGTCACAGAAGATTAAGGAGGCTGTGGTTGGCAAGGATGGAGCTTGAAGATTAAGGATGATACAATACAAGTGGTTGGGAAGAATGATTGTGATGGTGCTGTCACCGATGAGGTTGTGCTTGAAATATTGATGAGTTAAGGGATAGTGGGGGAGAGGGGTGACTGTTATCTTCTAGTTGAGTTAGAAGAAAAGTTCAAATTTAATCTCTGGCAAATGTATTTCATAATTTAGAGCAGATATTAATTTAAAAACAGATGAATTACGGCTTTAATTTGCGTATTTGTGCATCTATACATACATGTTTCTTAACTTTCAATAGGAAGAAATGTTTGTTAATATGTGGTGCATAATTCCTCATGAAATTATTTGTTGGCTACTCCTTATAGATAATTAAGTTATATAAACTATTTTTCTTTATATTGTATGTACTGTATTGAGATAAGTTCTTGCAAAAGTAAAATTGGGAGGCATTATTTTTTGATGAAATTCCTAGTCATTATTTAATGTTGCTATTAAAACACAAATATAGAGAAACACTTGTAAACACATACATAGACACATACACTATGTGAGACTTACCCACGGTCAACAAATTATACACACACCATATTGTACTAGTACTATAAAATGTGTATATAAATAGATTTTGTTAACCGAGTAAATTAATTATTCTCTGCACCATTTTTATGTTGGAAATTCACCTCACATTCTATGAAAAATTTCTTTCAATCTTGATCTTAAGATTGATGAACAAACCCACAATATGATAGTAATGGTGATAACAAGTAAATAATTATCAAGAACAGCAAAAGAGAAGAAGAATAACAAACAAACAACAAGAAAGAGAAGAATGAGAGAAGAAATATTTGGAGAAAATTTTGTTACCCACAAAGTGTGGGATTTCTAATTACTATTGAACTTTCACTTGCTAAATTCTGCAACTATGAAATCTGTTCTATTATAGATTACAAAGCAAGACACCTATTTATAGTTTTAGGTATACAAAAGCCCAAAACATAAAAGGCCTAAAATATTCAAAATCAAATCTAATCTAAATCATATCAAATCTCATCAAAACAAATCTGTGTCAAAACAAATTGTTTCGACACACTATGAATTACATTTAACACACCACCTAATTCATTGTGTCTAAACTATCTACATTCATCATGGCTCTTAGTCTTCTGAAGGCTTCGACCTGCACTCCCTTCGTCATGATATCTGCAATCTAATTCTCAGTTCTGCAGTGTTCAAACTTCATCTTCCTCTGAATCCTTCGACAGTTGCAATTTGGGCTCAGCTGGAGTCGAAGTTTGGTTGCAATCTTGCATCTCAAATATCTTGAGTATTTCGCCTGCATATCTTCTTTGGTGCATCATCAAACCTCTACTTGTCTTGTAGAATTCGATGCCAAGAAAATACGAGAGATTTCCCAAGTCTGACATTTCAAACTCCTTACTCAGGTCATGCTTGAAATCTTCGATCTCCTTCTTGAAACTCCCTGTTATCAACAAATCATCAACATAGAGACATAGTATAAGAAATTCGCCATTGCTTCTTCTTACATATACTCCATGCTCAGTTGTACACTTCACAAATTCCTTCTCCCTTAAGAAGTTGTCGATTTTCTTATTCCAAGCTCTTGGAGCTTGCTTAAGTCCATATAGGGCTTTATGAAGTCTATACACCTTTCTTTCTTCGCCTTGTTTCACAAACCCAGCTGGTTGTGCAACATAAACTTCTTCATCTTGTTTCACAAACCCAGCTGGTTGTGCAACATAAACTTCTTCGTCTAAGGGGCCATTAAGGAATGCACACTTCACGTCCATCTGACATGTGTGCCAGTTGTTCATATTTGCTAGACCAACAAACAACCTGATTGTTTCGATTCTAGCAACAGGTGCGAATACTTCATCAAAGTCGATTGCTTCCTTATGAAGAAATCCTTTCACCACAAGTCTCGCCTTGTGTCGAGTTACTTCTCCTTTAGGATTTACCTTCACCTTGTAAACCCACTTCACATCAACTGCCTTCTTGCCTTGCAGCAATTCGACAAGTGACCAGGTATCATTGACTTCGATGGACTCCAACTCTTCAGTCATTGCTTTCACCCACTTCAAATCTTTTAATGCCTCAGCTGCATTGACTGGTTTGACATCTGTGTAGAAAGCATAATGTACCAACTCACCCTCTTCAGCGACTACATCATCTGATGTAATTACACATTCTTGCAACCTTGCAGGCATGTGTCTTGTTCGTCGAGGTCTGCTTGAACCTGCTTCATCTACAACTGGTTCCTGTCGAACTTCTATTTCGACTTCAGTGGTTGGTTCTTCACAAGAGATTCTCACTGAATCCTTCTTGGCATTCTCAGTCCAATCCCATTCTTTAAGCTCATCTATGATCACGTCCCTGCTGATCACTATCTGCTTATTCACTGGGTCGAACAACTTGTAACCTCCTGTCGAATGATATCCTATCAAGATCATCTGATTCGACTTATCATCAAGCTTCCTTCTCAACTGATCTGGCACATGTCTATGTGCTATAGATCCAAATACCTTTAAGTGACTGAGACTAGGCTTGACACCAGACCAACATTCTTCTGGTGTGATTCCTTCAAGCTTCTTCATCGAACATCTGTTCAATATATATGTTGCTGTCAAAACTGCTTCTCCCCATAATTCTTTGGGTAGATGCTTTCCATTCAACATACTTCTCACCATATTCATGATGGTTCTGTTCTTGCGTTCTGCAATCCCATTTTGCTGTGGAGTGTAGAGTGGCACCACCTCATGCACAATCCCTTCTTTTACACATAGTGTATCGAACTCTTTCGACACATACTCTCCACCACCATCAGTCCTCAGAATTTTCAGCTTTCGACCACTCTGTCTTTATGCCTACGTATTCCCGTCTGAAACGAGAAATCAGAGTCAACGTAGTTCGCCTACCTACGGGAAAGGAGGGGAAGGTTGCTCGCTAGGATACGACATCCTATGCCTACGTACTTTCATACAGCATGAAAGATCAGAGCAAACGTAGTTCGGGCTACGGAAGACACAAATTTGTCTGACTGTTTTTTAGATCCTTCGGAAAAGGTTTTCTACTGATTAGGAGTCCAAACGGACAAAAATGAAACCTTGATGTTTGTTTTCAATCTTTTACGCAAGAAGTTTTTTTTAGTTGGTTTGCAATCTCTAACGCACTAGAGACTATGATTTGAGAGTGACTACGTCGTATGTCACCCTAAGGGTAACACACTAAGCAGTCAGATTACTGAAGAGTGACCCTCTAGCAATCCTCCTTCAAATAGCTTAAGGCTCGTAGCGTACGACATCGATTATCTTTATTATCGTGTTTTGAATTGTTTTGAGATAGAAGAGAAAGAACTCTAAAAACCTAGGGTCTGAAATGGGAATCAAAACTACCCTAATGTTATCATGCATGGGTTAACACCTAATGTCTGTCATATTTCTCTCTTGCACAGAGGGAAACAGAGATCCTAAGGGATAAACGGAAGAGAAACAGATATATACAGTAAACAGTAAACATGCATGCAATGCATCAATACAAGCGAGGCAAGGGAGTCCCACTCAACCTCGAACCTGGGAAAACAATAGGCAAAGTGAAACAGCTTCACTTCAAACCTAAGGAGTAAGCTGAACAAGCCAACAAACAATACAGAAAAAGAAAATAAAACCCAACACCAGCTCTGACAGCAACCCCAACTCTTACAGTAAGCAACTCAAACAGCAACAGCTCTGACAGCTACAGTTGATTAACAGCAAAAAGGTTGACAGTAACAACTTCAAGCAAGACCCCCTCTTCACTCTTCAACGACTTTCAAGCTTTAGATAAGCTCTTATCTCCAAAAATCTCCAAGCTCTGGAAAGCACTGAACCCCAACAAGTAACTAGCTTCAAACAACAGCAAAACCCTAATTCCAACAGATAACCCTCTTTGACAGATACAGGCTTTATCTTCACCAATCTTCAATGCACTTCTTATCTTCAATGGGCTTATATCTTCAAGGCAAGCACTCACAGGAGAGAATCACTTAATAGATTAAGTTGAAATGTTAAGAGGCTTAGTGATAACCCAAGGAAATCACTAAGATATTAACACAGCAAGTGAAAGGTATCCTCAAGGTTCTACCCAATCAAAGCATGATCTACATCTCTCCTAAGGAGAGATGGAACTTCTTTGGGGGACCTTGTGTCATGGGATAGAATAGAGGCACAAGAAGCTCTCTATGTTTGAAATAAGAAATCAGTCTAATCTAAAGCTCTCCCTATATCCCCTATCTCCTAAGTCTTCAAAAGCAATCCTCAAGGATAAGAATCTCATGCATCAAGCTCCATCCTTTGCCTACAATCATATCCAATGTCTTCAAAAGCTCCAACAAGAAAAGCCCAAGCCCAACACCCAATTGAAGTGACCCAAACCCCACAAGCAAACCAAAAGCCCAAAAGGGAAACACACAAACATCACCCACTTTGCAAAAATCAAATAAAATAGTAAAACTCATCATAAAATCCTAGATTAATTTATAAGGGGACCTAACTATATACCCTATACCCCACATAAACCCCAAGGCCTAAATCAAACCCTAAGTCTCCAAACTATGCCCTAAACTACACCTGAGTGTTGTAAAACCCTAATCCTAGCACCCTAAAGTTCATTATTCAAAACTACCCTAAACTTCATCATAAAAATGTGAGAAAAATCCCTAAGGGAGCATGTATCTCTAATCTAATCAATCCAACAAGAATCAACTCAAAAACATTCACCAATCTCTCATACTAAATTCAGAAAAATAAGGTATCAAACAAATGCACAATAAAATCAATAAAATTGTAAAATATACCAAAAAAATATTAAATGCATGAAATAATGTTTTTATTGTTTTATTAAATTCTAGAAACCCTAAGGAAAACAAGGAAAACAATCCTCACCCTAAAATGATCTTTTTTCAATTTGTTATGAATTTTTTATTAACTATGTCAAAACCATAAAAATGATGAGAAACTAAAATGAAAATGG